CCGACCCTCTCACCACATGGAACGTCCTGCTTTATCTCTGTTAGCGCTCCTCGTCTCCAGGTCTCTTTTACCTAATACTAATGCAGCCACTCCAGCCTCCTTGTACTCATTCTTCTTGTATCTTCTCTTCATCGATTTACTTTCAATCTATTTATGTCTTTATATTAAAATGTCTTATATATAACCTATAATTAGGTCTTGCTTTTTTCTTTTTTTTTTTGAGGAAGATTAGCCCTGAGCTAACTACTGCCAATCCTCTTCTTTCTGCTGAGGAAGACTGGCCCTGAGCTAACATCCATGCCCATCTTCCTCTACTTTATATGTGGGACGCCTACCACAGTACGGCGTTTGCCAAGCGGTGCCATGTCTGCACCCAGGATCTGAACCGGCAAACCCCGGGCTGCCAAAAAGTGGAACGTGCGAACTTAACTGCTGTGCCACCAGGCTGGCCCCAGGGCTTGCTTTTTTCTTGTCCTCGTTCTGACAATCTTTGCCTTTTAATTAGGATGTTTCATCCATTAACATTTTTGCAGTTATTAGTATGATTAGATTTAAGTACATCATTTTAAAAATGTGCTTTATGTTCTCCTTTTTTATTTTTCTCTGTCCACCCTCTCATTCCTTCACCTGGGTTATCTGAATCCTTTGGAATTCCATATTAATTTATTTGCTGATGAGAACAGCTGTTCTCATGGCTTCAGGAAACCGAGGACAGTCCAGTCTCTGCATACAGAGGAGGGGAGATTTTGTGTTCTGTTTAAGAAGTTTCAGGGGTTTCGTGTTTTACCCAAATGTCTCCATCCCAAATCTCTGGGTCCCACTGCTCCTCAATTAATGACCCACCCTTAATATAAGAGATTTGGCAGGACTGTGTGTTCAACTTGAATCAAAATTTACAACTTGAACAATTAGGTTTGGAGTCTGGTCCTCAGTTCTGATAACTGGGCAGGTCCAAGAAGATGTTCCTTTTAGGGCTGCTAGAGAAGCCCTCTGGTTCTGCGGCTGCACCTTAAACTAGAAACGTGAACTCAGGCTTTCTGAATGTTCTCCAGTGCATCCATCCCACCTGTAGTCTTTGTAGTAATCGTTACTAGCTAAACACCTGACTACAGCAGCTACTTAGCTTCCCAAAGTCTTGCTATCAGCCAGCGTTTTGTCCCCAGCAATGATACAGTAAGCCATTTTGGTGCTCCAACATGCCATGGATTCCACCTTCCAAAAGATCTCAAAGTATTCGAGCCCAGACATGTGAGCAACCCAATCCTGGACTCCCTCTCCCCTGGGATCAGTCCTGGTAGCAAGGACTGTATGGTAGGGACCAGTGTGCAAAACAGAAACCATTCTAGCGACTTCACCATGGGGGACTTAACACAGGGCATCAGTTACATGGGTGTTTGAAGCAGGTGGTGAGGACGCAGAGAATAGCAAGTGCAAAAGGGGCTGCTTTTCATAGGGCTGAAGAGACAGCAAGAAGACTGACGTCACTGTATCCCACACTCGGAAACCTTCCAGTGGGAGTGCGATCTATGATGAGCGTTGGATAGAGGAGGTTGGACCCGTGAAAGGCGGGGCTGACGGGTAGGAGATGTTGCCAAGGGGGAGACTCAGTTACTGTCACAGGCAAAGTGAGAGGCAGGAAGCTAGAAGGTGATGACTTTGGTTGTCTCCTTCTGACCTCCAGTTTCCTACAGTGACTCCCATTGGCTGAACCTACCAGGAGCCCAGTTGTCCAGGGAGCTCGCAGCACAGCATCTCTAGGATACAGGGCAGAGCAGGGAAGGGCAGAGAGTGGCTCTGGGAGCAAGTGATGGGCATGTTCGCTGTGGAGCCACACGAACCCCACGAGGCAGAGACGATTTGTAGTTACCTGTTGTGTCACAAACCATCCCCAAAGTTAAGGGCTGAGAACAACAAACATTTTGTTTGGTAACAATTCTGCGATCTGGGCTGGACTCAGTGGGCAGTTCCGCTTGCTCCACAGATAGCCACGTGTGCGGCTGCATTAGCTGGAGGCGGCAGGGGGCTGGGCTTAGCTGGGAGACGGGGATAGCTGGCCCCTCTCTCATTTCATGGGGTCTCAGGATCTTTCCCTTTCCATGTGGCTTCTATCCATGACCTTTCCCGTGGGGTAGCTGGACTTTTAATATGGCGGCTCGGTGCTCCCAAGAGTGCCAAGAGGAGCCTGCCAGGCCTTCTGAAGGCTGAGGCTGGGAACTGGCACAGCAGCGCTTCCGCAGCATCCCGCTAGGAAAAGCAAGTCAGGGGGAAGGGGATGACAAAACGGTGAGGATTCTGGGAGGCGTGGTTCATCGGGGGAAGGAAGTGTAGGACAGTACTCCGCAGTGGCTTCCTACGGGACCTGTTTTTGAGAAGTCTAATTTTAGGGGTTAAACGTGAAAAGGTTTTATTTTTTGCCAGTTGTATTTCCCCAGGTAGGCTAGGTAGATTCTCCATTTCTCGTCCTTAGCGACATCTCAGGCAGACCCACGGCCTTTCAGTCATGTTAGGTTTTTAAAAAAACTCGGTCCCGGCAAATTCAAAGCTTCTGTGTGGGATCCAGTCTGAAGCTCACGACTTCTCCTCATTCCTGTGCAGCCAGACCTCACCAGCCTGGGTGCTTGAAGAGGGGTGGGGACATCAGCTGCCCTTCTGTCTCCCCTCCCATTGCTAATTTTAACTCCTTTAATTTGAATCAGGACAGAGGGATTAGGGAGAGAGGTTAAAAATCTTTTAATTAACTTGGCACGTGATCACAGCCTCTGTCAGTAGTTTTCACCTCCTGGTTAACTCTGAGGGGCCGTCCATGCCATCTCTGTGGCAGGTGACCAAGGCCACATGTATAACTTTTCTTTTCTTTTTTTTTTTGAGGAAGATCAGCCCTGAGCTAACATCTGCTGTCAGTCCTCCTCTTTTTGCTGAGGAAGACTGGCCCTGAGCTAACATCCGTGCCCATCTTCCTCCACTTTATGTGTGGGACGCCTGCCACAGCATGGCTTTTTACCAAGTGGTGCCATGTCCGCACCCAGGATCCAAACCAGTGAACCCTGGGCCGACGAATCGGAACGTGCAAACTTAACTGCTGCACCACCGGGCTGGCCCTGTGACTTTTCTGGAGGGTTCTGTGCGGGGAGCTCACCTCTGCACCATTTCCTGGCAGGGCAGATCCTGATGTTCCTAAAATCGTCTCCAGACTTCCAGAAGCCCCTGCGTCTCCAAGGTCGCTGACAGCTGTAGAGGGACGTTCAGGGATGGGAGCGACGGTTGGAGAGTTAGCAATGCCAGCTTGGCCGCCTCCTAACAAACCCTGAGGCCCTGGCTGCCTCCCGCTTTCCGTGGCTTTCTTTAAAACGTAAGGTCCTCAGTTTTGCATCCCAGCTCCCAATTCTTGGATGAGTCTGCTCTGTGTCCTGCTACACGCCCACCACATTGCCTTTTAGTTACTTTCTTTCCATCTCTAGACTGGAAGAGAGGCAGCACACGCAGGTGAGTTTCAGTGACAGGAGCTGGTTGTAGGGACACGTGAGCACACGGTCCACTGTGCTGGGCCGTGTGCTTACTAGTCTCCTCCCCTCTGTGCCTCTCACTGTCTCTGCACCCGTGATGTTGCTGTCGTGACTGTGACTGGGGCCCCGCTACCTTGGAAGCCCAGAGAAGCACAGCGCGAGGGCTGGGAAGGAGGCGAGCTGTGGACACAGGCTGCCGTCTGAGGCTGCAGCTCTGCTCTGGGCGTGAAGTCCTGGCCTTCCCCTTGCCTCGCTCAACACTTGATAGGCCTTTGTCTTGTGCCTCCTAGGGTTTTCCTGTTCCTAGAATTCAAATGACACAAGACAGGTGTTAACATGCCAGCAGGGTGTAGGGGTCCCGTCAAGGCTGGGCTTCTCCCCCCACCCTGGGAAGCGGAGGTTGATTTTCCTTGGCTGCTCAGTTCCCTCGGCCGTTGGAAGGTGCCTGTTTCTCTGTGTTACAGGTCAGGCCATCTGGAGATCCAGTCTTTTGACCCTAATTCCAAATTCCCTTGAAGGAAACTTGGTTCAGTGCGGGGCAAGTGCTCACCCTGAACCTAATGTATCACCGTCATGTGGACGGCGCAGCTCCTGGCTGCCAGGATCCCACCCTGTGTGCCAGTGCTGTGTGGCCGGGGTCCGCTGCTCCTGGACAGGGCGGGTCCCAGTGCCCGCTGCTTCCTTGTGCACTCCTGTGCAGCATCCAAGTGCCCGAGAAGTGACCCGTCCTAAGCGCCCCGTACGTGTCCTTTCTCTTCAGGCCTTTCGCCTCTCACTCATCATCGGACTTGTCTCCCATGACCATACGAATCACTTGCGATAGGGCGAGAGGGGTACTGGGCCAGGGACGTTGGCGGTCCGAGCTGTCCTGACCCTCTGGGGATGTTTGGGGAAGATGGGGGTCTGAGCCATCCTGACGCTCAGGGGGCGTTTGAGGGTCCAAGCCGTCCTCACCCGCTCTGAGGACATTCTGAGGTCGGAGCCGTGCTGACCCTCTGGGGACGTTTGGGGACGTCTGGGGGTCCGAACTGTGCTCACCCTCTGGGGACATTTGGGGACACTGGGGCTCCGATCACTCCTGACCCTCTGGGGATGTTTGGGGACGTCTGAGGGTCCGAGCCAAGCTGACCCTCTGGGGACGTTTGGGAACCTCTGGGGGTCCGAGCAGTCCTGACCCTCTGGGGATGTTTGGGGACGTCTGAGGGCCCGAACCGAGCTGACCCTCTGGGGACATCTGGGGGCGTCTGGGGGTCCGAGCTGTGCTGACCCTTTGGGGACGTTTGGGGACACTGGGGGTCCGAGCCGAGCTGACCCTCTGGGGGCGTTTGGGGACACTGGGGGTCAGAGCCCCGAGAGACGATGAGCAGCATCGGCCGGCGCGCTAGTGCCCGGAACCTTCCTGGCCCGCCGGTGGTGCCGGGGGAACGTGCGGCGAGGGAGCGGGGAGCCCTTAGGCCGGGGCACCTGCGGTCCAGAGCGCCCGGAAGAAGCGGGGCCGTGTGGGAAGGACCCGCGGTTTCGGCGGGTTCCGTTAAAATGGCGCCCTCGTCGCCGGCGGTGCCCGCGGGGCCTTAGCCTGTCGGGGACGCGGGAGCCCGCGGGGCGCGGGGCGGGCGGCGGGGCCTCCGGAGCGCGGCGGGCTCGGGCCGGGGGCTCCGCGGGCCCGGTGGGCAGACCCGGGCGAGCATGGCGACCCCGGACCAGAAGTCGCCGAACGTCCTGCTGCAGAACCTGTGCTGCCGCATCCTGGGCAGGAGCGAAGGTAGCGCGCTGGGCCGGGGAGGCCGCTCCCTCCGCTTGCGGCCCGGTGGGCTGGGGCGGTGGGCCGGACCGGACCGGAGCGGGGCCGGGGCGGGCGGCCCCCAGGCTCCTCAGGCCGGCGTCCCCGGGGCGGGAGCGGGGCCGGGGCGGGCGGCCCCCAGGCTCCTCAGGCCGGCGTCCCCGGTGCGGGAGCGGGGCCGGGCGGGCGGCCCCCAGGCTCCTCAGGCCGGGGTCCCCGGGGCGGCGGCGTGGCGGCGTACGGAGCGCTGCGGCCCGTGGGCGGAGGGGCGGCGGGCAGCACGGCAGCACCCGGCCGGCTGAGTCACCGCTGCCCCGCGCCGGCCCGAGTGAAGCCCGGGAGGCGGCTCGCGAAGGCGGCCTGGTCTAAAGGCAGCGCCCGCGCTCCTGGGGCGCCGAGCGCGGAGGGCGGCCGGGTCGGGTTCCCTGCCTGCAGCGAAGGGCGGCGGACGCTGCTGCCTGCCGTGGTTTTCTCCCGCCAGGGCTGAGCAGATTTGACGCGGACCTGCCCTTGGGGGCTTCGCGCAGGGAGTCGGCTCCCCAGACCCGGCCCCGCCCGGCGCACGAAGCCGTCGGCGGTGGTGCTGCGCTAAGGGCGGCGCGGGCTCGGCCCTTGGCCTTTGCTTTGGCGGGAGGCAGGGGCCGCGGGGCTGCGGCGTGAAGGGTTTTCCTGGGCGGTGGGAGCGGCTGGGTTTCTCACTCCCCTGGAACCGTAATGTGGAAAAGAGATTGTGCGGTTTTTGCGGGAAGGCTTTAAACGAAATTACGCTTAAAGTATTGAGACTGTATTTTGACCTTTCGTGATTCTTCACCATTATCTTATGTCAGTTATTTGATATTCTGTGATACTCTTAGGGGCCAGAAGTGAAGTTTTTTGGTCAGTCCATTAAATGGCACTGACTTCACACAGTTCTTGCCACATTTTATAAAGTTTCACCCTGTGGCTTTCTGCGTCTGAGAAGTCTTTGTCCTCCGCCCCCTGCGTCCCCCTCCCCGGTGCCGTGTTAGGTGCTGCCGATGCGGAGCCGTGCAGACAAGTGTGCCTCCCGCAGATGTCACATCCTAGTGGGGAGAGTGATGAAACTGGTCAAGGAGTAATGCCCTCAGTGACAAGCGCTGCGGTGGAGCGGGCGGTAGGGTGAAGGGATGTCGAGGGAAGGGCTGAGGAAAGCCCGGGAGGGGAGCGTGAAACGGGACCGAGTGGAGGGCGGCGGGCCCTGTGAGCCCCTGGGAGGGCTGCGGGCGGGGTGCAGGGCCTCGAGTGGCGGCAGCTTGGCCTACTGGCTGTGCATCTGTCCCCAGCTCTTGTGTGCGCCTATCTCCAGCACCGGGGTTACCCTTCCGACTCCGTGTTCCTAGTCCCGGGAGAAGCCACAGAGCCACGGTTGTTGGGAACCACTCACTCACTTTGCTGTCAGTGTTTTCATTATACCCGCGGGCCCTCGCTGTGGCTCCAGGGATAAACTGCAGGCTCCTGCGTTCCCATTGTCACAGCTGGACTTGCAGGGCCCCTTGTTGTGAGGTACCGTGGTGTTCTCAGTTTACAGAAATCTTAAAACTTGACGCTCCTGTCCACTGACTTAGCTTCTCCCCTTCCAGGAGGTTGGACACTTCCTTTCAGCAGAGTTCTGCACCCTCCTGTCTCTCCGTTTGGAATTGTGTCTAAATTAAAAGTAGATGGGCTCTCTCTCAGATCCTGAGGGGATCCTCCTGAGTGCAGTGTGTTTTAGAGTACATTGACGATGATGTTCTCTGTTCCGGACAGCTCGGATTGCCACACAGTTAGCAGATTCATAATTCCAGATTGTGCTCCTGTTTACTGAAGAATTTGTAACTGTTTAATAGCCTGCCTTGTTTGTTCTACCTTAGTGAGCAAAGGAGTAGTATTAATTGCTGCCTTTACAACGTTTGACATTAAAAAAAGTTTTATTTTCATTATTGGGTATTTTATCTAACTGAGGAGAACCTTTGATTAATTACTTCATTTTCTGGTGACACGTTACAAACCGTTGCCGTTATGCTTTTGTAATATATTGCTTTTTTAATAATATGAAATTGAGGCATAGCAAACACTTGTTAGTTTTGACGTGAATGTCACAGGAATCAATTTTTCATAAAGTATTTTTTAAAAGAAATTTTACACTTGGCTTTAAGGGACTTCGGAAGCAAAGCACCTAACTATAGCAGTGATTGACGTTGTTCTAAAGTTAGTGTAACCATTATTTCACCTTTTTCGACTTAAAACCCTTGTGACTTTGCCTGAAATACCCCTGCCCGCCCGTGGCAGGAAAATTCCCTCCCCGTGTCCCTGCGTCTCTCCTGGAGTGCATTTTTTGCCCATTACCTCTTTGGATAGTTTTTGTTTGTCTTTGGAAATGATGTGCTTAGTGTTACAGAGTTTTGACTCTGTCAGAGGCAGTGTCCCTTTTCACACTTGGTAGTCCTCTTTCTAACTATCAGATGAAGAAGAACTAAAGGAGTTTTTGTTAGATGAGCACTTCAGCACAAACGCTTGCATGTGACTACAGTACCCTACATACTGTAAGGTGATTGCCCTGATGTGCAGCACCGCTGAGTGCACTCTGAGCCACAGTGAGAAGACACAGGAGCGTTGTCTTGGTGATTCATGGACCACAAGTGGGGTTGCTGTTAGTTTCATGATTTTCCAAAATGGTGCAGAGCTCTTGATGAAGTTTCAAATAAAGAATGGTTTTCCCTGGATTATATGCTTGGCAAAATCAATGTGTATTAAGTATACATTAAAACATGTTAAGTGTATATGAAAATGTTCACTAAATATCTATTAACATGTATATTGAATTTCGAAGTTTTAGGCTTTGTTTGAAAGTTGTACTTAATGAGTTTGTTATTATTTTAAAATGCATATTTAAAAATGATCTCGGTTTAAATTTCTAATACAGTAGATATTGATAGATGTAACCCACATAAATAAACAACAACTTAGGGGCCCTCAATCTTAAAGAGTGTAAAGGGGCCCTGAGACCAATAATTTTGAGAACCACAAATCCAGAGCAGTGTTTTTTTATTTCGATTTTTTTTTAGAGCGATGCTTTTCAGCTAGAGCTGTGCGTCAGAATCACCTTGATTATACAGGAAACTGATATACTGTGTTTAACGTGACACCTTTTCATTTTGAATTCTCTAAGTGTGGTACTTATTTAAAGTCATCTTGGGGGCCCCATCTCCAGAGATTCTGATCCCCTAGGTCTCTTGGAGCTTGGCGTCTGGAACGTGAGACACACAGTCATCCTGAGCTGCATCTGGAGTGGGGAGTTGCTGGGCTAGCTGCTGGAGAGAGCACTTGTGGTTGAGCTGGCCTGCCCCCAGAGTCACTGCTCTGTGGCCCCGTCCTTTAGAAAACAGCGTGGTGTCCGTACAAGCCAACACAAGGAGGAGATTTAGGAAGGCAGACGCGTCTTACTGAACAGTTCGCCTCCTCCCCCCCACCCCCCACCGTCTTTCTGAATCCCTAGAAAGCAGGCGACTGGGGGGTGTCTGTGCCCTTGAGCTGCACTTGTTTTTGTGCGTCTCTGAGTTCAGTTGTCTTCTTCTACCTGAATGTGTGTAGAACCCTTTGGGGTGCGCAAGGCAACTGTCTTTCGTTTAAGGACTCTTGGGCCCACGTCTGAGTGTTGTTTGGAGCCTTCACCTTTGGGATTGAGACCCTGCAGTTCCACTGCATTTCTTCCCCTGGTTTTACACCTCGTCTCCTTCCTTTTCTTCTCTGCACCAAGAGTCCTTTCTAGAAAACAAATCTAATCAGATCTGTTGAGGAGACTTAATTTGTTCCCTATTTGCATGAGCACGATACAGGGGTGTTTAAGAAAGACTGTGTCCTTTGTATCTGCTTGAGATAGGGAGGCATTCTGAGGAGGTGTCATTTACATAGAGAACCCTGTGGAGTGGTGGACTGAGTCCTGGGAAGACATGGAGGAGTGTGTCAAGGTTCTGAGCTGGAAGTGATTGTGGTGTGCTCAAGGAACAGCAAGACCACAAGGTGTGGCTGGTGTGTGGCGAGCCCCGCTGGACGGCGCGTCGTGCAGAGGGAGCCGTCCAGCATGCACTGTTTTGAGACGGTTTCTTTACTTAGCCAGAGACATTTGGGACTCATTCCTGGTGGTGTGTGTTGTAGTTCCTGCCTTTCATTGCGGAGTGGTATTCCGTTGTGAGAATGTACCACAGTGTCTACCCATTCACCCATCGAGGGACAGCCAAGTTGTTTCCGGTTTTTGGTGGTTATGGATAACGCTGCTGTAAGCATTCAGGTGCAGATTTTTATGAGACTCTAGAATGAACAGCCTGCAAGTGGGGTTGCTGGGAAGTGCGTGCTGAACTGTCCTCCTGCCTTCCCTTTCCTCCCCTGCCTCAGTGTCAGCGCCCCAGGAACCTGCGTTCTCACCAGCACTTGGTGGCCCTGGTATTTCTTTATTTCAGCTATTCTGAAAGGTGAATTGTGGCATCTCATTGTGGCTTAATTTGCATTTCCCTAATGACTAATGAGCGTCTTTTCATGTGTTTCTTTTCTGTTCATCTTCTTGGTAAATTGATTGTTCAAAACTTTTCTTTATGTTTTTATTGGGTTGTTTTTTTCCTCTTACTGAGTTTTGAGAGTTCTTTATATCTGTCTGGATTCAAGCCCTTTGTTGGATATGTGTTTTGCAAATAATTTCTCAGTATTTTCATTCTCTTAACAGTGTCCTTTGCACAGCAAAAGTTTTTAATCTTGGATGAAAGAAAGTCCAATTCATCAAATTTTTTTAGTGGGTCATGATTTTGATGTCTTATGTAAGAACTCTGCATACCCCAAAGGCACAAAGATTTCTTCTGTTTTTTTTTTTTCTTAAGTGTTCTAGGCTTATGTTTAGCACTATTATGTTCTGAGTTAATTTTGTATATGATGTATGGTATAGGCTGAGATTTTTTTTCAGTTTGCTGAAGAAGTGTTTTTTTTCGCATTTAAGGTGCTTTATTTTTGCCTTTAAGACTAAAAGTTTTAAAATGGAGCTTTGAAAAACATATCGGGGCTGGCCTGGTGGTGTGGTTAAGTTTGTGTGCTCTGCTTCCGTGGTCCAGGGTTCACAGGTTTGGATCCTGGGCGCAGACTTAGAACTGCTGGTCAAGCCATGCTGTGGTGTCATCCCACATAAAATAGAGGAGGATTGGCACAGATGTTGACTCAGCAACAGTCTTCCTCAAGGAAGATTGGCAACAGATGGTAGCTCAGGGCCAATCTTCCTCACCAGAAAAAAAGAAAGAAAGAAAGAAAGAAAGAAAAAAACCCCTAAAATAAAAAATAAAAAAATATGCTTTGCACAAAATATTGATAATGGCCTCCTTCAGACCAATAAAATCATGATTTGTGAAAGATGAGTTTTGGAATCAGTATTTTTTTAAAACAAACTTTTAATTTTAGAATGAGTTTAGATTTACAGAAGAATGGTGGCAATAAGACAGAGTTCCTTGTACCCTACACCCTTTCTCTATTATTAGCATCCTACATTTGGATGGTGTAATTGTTACAGTGAGTGCATCAGTAATGATACGTTGATATTAACTAAACTTCAGACCTTGTTCCAATTTCCTCAGTTAGTACTTGGTGTTCCTTTACTGTTCTAGGGTTCCATGCAGGGTACCATATTACTTTCAGCTCTCATGTCTCCTTGGGTTCCTGTTGGCTCTGACCATTTCTCAGACTTTAAAAATTATTTCTTTTGATGACCTTGACAGTTTTGAGGATTAAAAGTCAAGTATTGTGTAGAATGCCTCAGTTGGAACTGGTCTGATGTTTTTCTCATGATTAGACTGGGGTTATGTGTGTTTGGGAGGAGACCCCAGAGGTAAAGTTCCCTTCTCGTCCCATGGTGTCCAGGGCGCACACTGTCAGCGGGACTCATCACTGGGGATCTTTTTTTTCTTTTTTCTTTTTTGAGGGAGATTAACCCTGAGCTAACTACTGCCAGTTCTCCTCTTTTTGCTGAGGAAGCCTGACCCTGAGCTAGCATCCGTGCCCATCTTCCTCTACTTTATATGTGGGACGCCTACCACAGCATGACATGCCAAGCGGTGCCATGTCTGCACCTGGGATCTGAACCGGCGAACCCTGGGCTGCCGAGAAGTAGAACGTGTGCACTTAACCGCTGCGCCACCAGGCTGGCCCCACGCTGGGCATCTTGACCCTGGTCACCTGGCTGGGGTGTTTGTCAGGCGTCTCCGCTGCACAGCGCTCTCTTCTTGGGAAGGAAGCCTCTGTGCAGCCCGCCCTGAAGGAGTGGGCGTTGTGTTTTAGCCACCTCCTTGAGGGGGGTGCTACATGAATTCTTTAGCGATTTTTTTTTGTTTTTGAAATTTCTGTGGGATCAGTGGTAATATCACCTCTTTCATTCCTTAATTTGTGTCTTTTCTTGTTTTTCTTGGTCACAAATTTATGTTTATCAATTATATTATTTTTCTTTTTGAAGAACCAGCTTTTGGTTTCATTGATTTTTTTTCTCCCCTATTTTTGTTTTAAATTTGATTGATTTTTCTTCTTATTTTTATTTTCTAATGCTTTGAGTTTAGTTTGCTTTTCTTTTTCTAAATTTTATTGAGTAAGCTGAGATGGTTGACTTGAGACCCACCTTCCTTTTTAATAAAAGCGTTTTATTTTCCTCTAAACACTGCTCTAGCTGTATCCCACATATTTTAATGTGTTGTGTTTTTATTTTCATTCAGTTCAGGATATTTTCCAGGTTCCTTTGAGACTTTCTCTGGTCAGTGTATCGCACAGCAGTGTGTTGATTGACTTCCAGATATCTGAGGATTTTTCAGATATCATTCTGTTACTGATTTCTAGTATAGTTCTGTTACTGATAGGGAGCATACTTTGAATACTTTCAGTTATTTATAGTTAATAAGGTTTGTTTTGTGACCCCCAAATGCAGTCTTTCTTGATGACTGTACAATGTGCATTTGAAAGAGATGTGTATTCTTTTGTCGGTGGATGGAATGTTCTGTGAGTATCACTTGGGGTTAGTTGGTCAGTTGTGGTGTTCAGTCTAAATCCTGGTTCACTTTCCTTCACTTATCTTTCGGATTACTGAGCAAGGCACTTTTCCAGGTGGAGCCTGTGGGACTGCTTGGGGTTTTAGTTTTGTTACTGGTTTTTGCCTGGTGTCGGATGCCTAGCGCACTGTGGGGTGGTGGTGCTTTTTTGGGAGGTAGAGGGCGCTGCATTTTGGCCGCGATCCCCGATGTAGGAGTCTTGATTCCCAGTGTCTGGGGAGGGGGGCCGGAGCCCTTAAGTCAGTCTGCTACTTTTACTTCACATTCTTGCTGTCCTGGTACCCCTCCCAGACCTCCTTTGGTTTGCCTGGGTGGGGCAGTCAGTGGTCCCCTGGTTGTGTGGGATGGGGTGGAGGACCCAGGAGTCTTGTTTTCCGTCCAGATTTCCAGGCAGTCCTCGTCATTCTGCCCCACTTCATGCACATCTTCGAGGTATGGAGTTCCCTCGTTTCTGGAGCCTCCCTGGGCTTCTCAGGGATCTGCCTTTCTCTTGGGTTCTGTGCCCACTCTTGACCCAGCAGGCGTCGAGCTCCTGAAGCAGGTCCCACCAGTCCACTTGCTCTTCAGCTTCTCACATTTTGTTGACCTCTCTTTAACTTTGCTCTGCTTTATTTTCTTTGCCTTTCTAGGTTTATGCCCCCCCCTTTTTTTTTTTTAAAAGAAACGCATTTAGTCTCAATTTAGTAGGGTTTTTGAAGGGAGTAGTGTTTAAGCCATATCTTTACCTGAAGTGCAAACGCAGTTTATAAACTAAGTGCCCATTTTGATCGCTCCCCGGCCTACTCCCGGTGTTTGTGTGTGTTGGATTGAGCTGTGGAGCTTCGCAGAGGCTCTTGAGCAGGCTTACTTCTCAGGCGTCACGTTTTGGGCTGTGACTTTTTCTGTTCCTTTTTTTGTGATTATCAGTCCAGTTTATTTTCTGTCTCCTAGGATTTTTCAGACTTTCTGGCGTCTTGCTGTCTCCCTTCCTTATTTAATAGAACTGTTATTTCATCCATTTATTCATTCATTTTGTTTGCATTTCCTAATAGCTTCTCTGCCTCTCACTTAAAACCTTGGGAAGGTGGAAGGTGGATGTATGTGCCCAGCCCACTGTCTCGAACTGGAAGCTTCAGGTGATCAAAACTTAACCTGATTGGCAATAATTTGCATCCTTTTATTTACCTTTCAGCTGATGTAGCCCAACAGTTCCAGTATGCTGTGCGAGTTATTGGCAGCAACTTTGCCCCAACTGTTGAGAGAGATGAATTTCTAGTAGCTGAAAAAATCAAGAAAGAACGTATGTATTTTGCTTAAATGTTGTCATATGTTGGATTCTTCAACTTGTCAAAGCTTGAGAGTGTGTGTGTGTGTGTGTATATATATGTACACACACACACATACAGAGATACATGTATTTTATATATATGTTTTTATATATCTCTGTATGTGTATATGTAGTTCCCAAGCACATTTTAATTATAGGTACTATTACATATGTATAAAAATATATATTAAGAATAAGGACAACTCACTTCTGTCTTCATTAGAACATAGTGAAAGAAGATTGTTTTAAATACTGTTCTAACTCCATAGTTTGGTTTAAGAGAGTGAGGAAGATAAAAGGGCTTAATATACCTTCCTGTTTATCTTGTGCTTTGAAGTATTTAATGTTACGCACTTTTTGATAAGATAGCAGAACACTGTCTTGGAAGTAAACAACTCTTAGTGAATCAAATATTGCTTCTCTTGATTGTCGACATCCAAACTTCTGGTACTTCAGAGCTTACTATGTGAACACTTTGATTCAGAGATGCAAGCTTTCCTAAACATCGTTACCGGAGAGACGAAAGCTTTCTGCTTATTAGCATCTAGTCACTACTGTCTTCCCTGGTTGTGTAATTTGGAGCTCTGCTGCCCCTCTGTACCCCAGGAGTGTCTAAGGGAGTGAGGCTTCGAGCATAACGACCCACATGTGAGAACTGCTCTTGTCCTGGTTGGAGGGTTGTTTTTCCAGTGGCCAGTTCCCGCCTCTGCACAGTTCTATGGGCTATATGAGCCCAGCTCCGGCTGCCTGAAAAGCAGCCTTGCCATGCAGGTCAGTGTGTCCTCCCTGCCGGGGCCTGGCTGTGAAACTGCCCAAATGAAATGGGCTTTGGCCTTATTTCTAAGTGTGTTCGAAAACTGGTAATGACACCTCCTAGGGCTCTGTTTCTCATGGCACAGTTTTCCACCCCTACCTGTTGCATTATTCACTGTATTTGGCCCATGGTCTGCATGGACGTCCTGTTTCAGAGCTGTGTAACCGAGATGGGTGGTGAGCTTCTGGGGGTAGACTGAGGCTGTGGCGCGTGAGTAACTGGATCTGGCCATGGTGACCTCTGCACGTTTAGGGCTTGATGAGCAGTACAGTCTGAAATGGGCCACCTGCTGATAGGAGTTGGATCTCAGTGTAACTTGGTGTGTGTGTTATTTAAGGTAGAAGGGCAAAAATGGAGTGTTTATCCTGCAATTAACTGGTAAAGACATTTTTTCCTTTCTTGTCTGTAAAACTGAACATAAGAACACTGTACCCTCTTCTTGAACCCTGCTGATTATTACATTTTAGATTATTAGTGAGAACGCCAGCTATTAGGTTCTATATTACCAGACCATTCCCTTTGTGAATTTACATTTCAAGGCCTCCTGGCGAGCATATTACACATACGTGTAGAAGCTAAAAATACAGTTTGTCTAAAGGCAGAGTTAAAGAACTGGCAACTGCGTTGTGGCAGTGGGTATTGCAAGGAAGTCTTGGAATCTCCTTTTTGTTTACCAAGAGAACTGTAACCATGTAGTTTTTGACTGTTTGTCTTCTGTGTTTTTGAAACAAGACTTGGTGTATATTGATGCATGTGGTGCTTCTGCCTGTTGTCACTGGGTGTCTACAGCTTCTCTTGGGCACCCCTGCCGGCACCCCTCCCTGAGTCCCAGCTCTGATGCGGCCCAGCTGTAGGTGGTAGAGCATTATTGATGGTCCTCTCATGTAATGGTCACCATTGATCTCTTATATTTCATTAATTCTTAGATATAGTTTTTACATTTAACATTTTTGAAATTCGATTACAGTTTTTGGTAGATTAGATTAGTTGAGTGATGATAGTTCTGTCCTCTGGAGTAACATAAAGAAATTAATTTTCCATTTTATATGGCTGGCTTCAAATATTAAATGCTAGTAGTTTTTTTTTGAGGAAGATTAGCCCTGAGCTAACTACTGCCAGTCCTCCTCTTTTTGCTGAGGGAGACTGGCCCTGAGCGAACATCTGCTCCCATCTTCCTCTACGTTGTATGTGGGACGCCTGCCACAGCATGGGTTGACAAGCAGTGCCATGTCCGCACCGGGGATCCGAACTAGGGATCCCCGGGCCGTTGAAGCAGAAGGTGTGAACTTAACCGCTGTGCCACTGGGCCGGCCCTGGTATGTTTTATATTGAAACAAATTGCAAAACTCATCACGTGTGACAACATTTAATACTTAGAAGTTTCTTAATTTTTCACAGTGATGAGTGGGGTACGTGGTAACTCAAGATTTGTTTTGCTTTGTTTAGCAATCTGTTAGGTAAAACATTTTTTTGGGTAAATAGTCTATGTTTATTTTATTTGTATTATTTACTTTGTATTATTATCTTATGACTTTCATGTCTATGAATTAGTGTCATTCTGTAGAAAGAACATCACTTGCTCCATTTTATGGTGGTGTTTATTTGGAGTATTTTTATATAAGTTTTTAAAGATAGTAAATTATATTTTTTAATTGCATTCGTTTTGTTGAATGCATTTTGTGATAATACATTTTAGTGTAAAGATAGCTTTACCTTTCTGCATAGGAAGAGCTGACAGTACAGATGGGCTGAGATTGATATAACCGCTGGTATGTGGTTCATAGCGTCAGTCCATGGAACCAGGACCCTGTCTAGCTGATGAATATGAGGAAGCATGGCCATCGAGTCAGTCATTGTCTTTTTGCAAATGAATTTGAACATTTAAAGCTAAGTGAGCTTGGCTGATGACATGTTAAGAAAGCAGTGCCTCTGAACTGAGATAAATAAACACGAAGATTACTTAGAGGCTGCTGAGCTTTGCAAAGTGGTACCTTTTCTTGGGAGTGTGTCAGGGTTCCTTTGAGAGGCTGCTGTCTGTGCGTAGGTGGTGTGTGCAGTGTTGTAGATGTGGGCGAGTGGGGTCTCTTCCGTCAGGGCCCCAAATCCAGTGTGTAGTCTCCTTCATGGAGCAGAGCAGAGCATGAGCTCATTTGCTGCCACGGCTTTCAGAACACTTGTAAGTGTAGCTGCAGGCATCTGAAGACTTACCAGTAGAATGAATTAGTAGATGAAAAGTAGTTAGGGGCCGGCCCAGTGGCACATCGGTTAAGTGCTCACATTCCGCTTTGGCAGCCCAGGGTTTACCAGTTCCAATCCTGGGTGCGGACATGGCACTGCTTGGCACACCATGCTGTGGTAGGTGTCCCACATATACAGTAGAGGAAGATGGGCACAGATGTTAGCTCAGGGCCAGTCTTCCTCAGCAAAAAGAGGAGGATTGGCAGCAGTTAGCTCAGGGCTAATCTTCCTCAAAAAAAAAGAAAAGTAGCTAATAGGCTATTTTGATTTTTATTTTGAAACAGTAATTGTTACATTTATACTAAAACAAGATGAAATATTGCTGTATATGTTAACATAAATGCTTAGAATGTATAGTTTTGAGTCAAACTATCATGAATGGTATACTTTTTGGTTAATGCCCTTTAAATTTAGGATTCCAAAGATATTTTTACTTCCCATCCTCCCTCTGGGTAGCCATTATTAACTAGTTAGACTGGTGGTGGTTTGCCTCACTGGTCTGTTTATTAAGATTTGTAGATAGAATCTAAAAGATCTCATCATTTCTATTACTTGGCTAATTTTCACATAAGCTCTTTGACTCCAGTCTAATACTGTCCTTATTTTACAAATATCAGAGAGATTAAATGAATTGACCAAATTCATAAAGCTCAAATGTCACTTATTGTCTAGTTATTTTGATTCCTAAGCGCAAGATTCTTTTCTGAGTTTTCTGTTACTATAGGTGAAATAGTATCATAAAAATGGATTTTGGTGCGTGTGATTAACATGCTTATTTTCTTTTCTAACTTTTCAGTTACTCGACAAAGAAGAGAAGCAGATGCTGCATTATTTTCTGAACTCCATAGAAAACTTCATTCACAGGTATCATACAAGTGGTCTGAAAGCCGTTCCACTAATGGCGACGCTGGTACTAGGGATCTGGGGCATTTGAACATTTTTTTGTGGTATCATATTAAACTTTTCCGTGTTGTGTAATGGCTTTTAATTGTAGATAGTGTTTGCGTTTTAAAGATTTCAACATTAGAAGTAAGTTTTAGCTGGATTTAGTGCTGAATTGTTTGTAAAGGTGGATGAAGCTACACTGAGAACGTGATCAGACTTAAGTACATAGTGAGTTTGTATTACAGATGCCTTAATTCTCTTACTGTGACGAAGTGCATTGGTGGAAGTCTCGACTTGTCTGTATAACAGCAAAAGCTTATCTTTTTGATATACTTTATTGTTCATCAGGTCCTGATTTGTACTGTTATAGTAATAATTTAAAAAAGAATTGATTTTGAACATTTTGTGACTGGATATTGAGACTTGCACATGAGTGGTTTTTCTAACCTCTTATTTTAATAAAAGACTCTGCTAGCCTATACGCCAGTGAATTAGTTGAATCGTAGGGTGAGGTTTTTATGATTCTGTCTGTAAAGGAACTTAGTTCATCTGGTTCTCTCCCTCCTTCTATAGAGAAGAGAGTGAAATCCAGAGAAGTTTAATGCTTTGCTCAACAAATATTAAGTTAGTGTTACAACAATAAAAATTACTGAGTTAGGCATACTGCTCCTAGTAATTAAACTCATAATTTTTTCAGGTCTTCCTCTTTATTCGAATATTGTACCCTTAAAAATAAGCTTAAAGTTATTTGCTGACCATTTTGATTCCTTAATTTGATATGTTATACTTGGATTCACTGTTTTAAGTATGCTTTTCTAAAAATACTTGATAATATTTATAAAATTGAGAAATAGGAACCTTTTTTTGTACATTCGTTTCCAGGCAAATAGTTTCAAAATGCTGTATCATTTGCTTTTCTTAAATCTTTCTCTATTTTTGAAAACATCTTCTTCTGTACATTGAAAATTGCCAAGATCTGTTTACCGGATATCACATTCCCAAGATGCTTAGCCTTACTGAGATCCCAGAAGAGAGTTTCATCAGTAAAAGCTGTCGTGTCTATTAATATTGGCCTTAGATGAAAACATAATATTGGCAATTAGATGAAAACATATTTAGGAAGTTTCTAATTTATTGGTGAGGAAGATTGGCCCTGAGCTAACATCTGTTGCCTATTGTCCTCTTTTTTTTTCTTTTTCTCCATAAAGCTGCTCAGTACGTAGTTGTATATCCTAGTTGTGAGTCCTTCTAGTTCTGCTAAGTGAGACTCCACCTCTGCATGGTTTGATGAGCGGTGCTAGGTCTGTGCCCAGGATCTGAACCTGTGAACCCCGGACCGCTGAACTGCAGCACACTGACTTAACCACTAGGCCGTGGGTCCGGCCCCTGGAAGTTTCTAATTTAAAGTCGTTGTTTTGCAAAATTTTGTTTGGAACCCTGAGTGCTTATTCTTAAACATCAAGTTTTTAAATAGTACCCACTTCCTAGGGCTAGCCCAGAAAACTAGCTTGGCTCATTGCGTGAAACATGATGAAAAACATTAGGAAACAACAGTGTAACACTAGTGAGTAAATGAAATAGAAGAATGTGTACCAATTAGTAGCCATTCCGTTTTTCTGCTAAGATGTCCAGCTCCTCACAACTGCAGAGGTGGCTGATGTTTCTGTCCTCTCTGTTCATCGGGGGCCCTTCTCTGCAGAGTGTGCTGTGCGCACAGAGGAGGAAAGGTTGGAGGTGTGGTTACCGTTTGCTGTGTTGTTTCTAGACCCCCAGGCGGGAGTCGGGAGGGGACAGAGGGGTCTGGGGTGCTGTGGAGATGTTGGGGAAAGTGTCTTGGTGTTCCTGGCTGGACTTCGGAGGCTGCTGACAGAGCTGAGGAGGAGAAGGATGGATCGTCTTGGGGAGGCGGCAAGCACCTTGCGGAGGTGGGCCTGATGAGGAAGGTCCTGGGCAGCAAGGGGACCTGGGGGACTAGTGGGTGACCAGCTCCGCTGAGGAGATGACCCGGGGTGGTTGGGCGTGAATGCTGGAAGAAGCTCTGTGTCCCGCACTAGTTTTGCTTTACAAAACCACCTGTTTTGATGTTCCTCTAGATCTTATGGAGGCCTAATATGTGTTTTTACATTCAACATTCAGTTTGTGCACAGTGTTTAAGGATTTATGTCTGAATTGAGGTCCTTTAGGTTTTGGAATCTTAGATGACAGGGTCTGATGTGGTTTAGAATCATTTAAAACATGTGATGCTAGAGTTGTTTACTGTTTGTCCCACAAGGTCTGTTCTCTATCCTGTTTGGTGCTGCTTTGGGCTCTGGAGGGCTGACGGGTGTGGATTGCAGCCTCTGGGCTCTCTTGCTTTCTGCTTAGCTTCAACTGGAACTGGCAGGGTGGGAAAAGAATGAGCCCTAGATGTTACTCCCCTTCTGCCAGGCAGCAGTTTGGCGATGGCTTAGCTGTGCCCAAGGGCCATATGGGCAGTCCCTCTCTCACGCCCTCATGCCCTCCTGTCCCGCCTGCCCTGGCTCTGGTGATCCCTGTCCACCGCTGTCCCTTCAGGCCTCCAGAGGGGAGTGGCTCCTTGTTGGTGGTGCTCCTGCTTGCTTCCTCCACTTGTGCCCCCATCCCTGTCCACACCGCAGTGCACAGTCCCTCCATCAAACGCTCTTCAGCTGACTGACCCTGGGTGTTTAAAACCTCTTCTTCTTAGGTTAAAAAAAATGCCGCCGCCTCCCTTCCATATGCCTTTTGCTGATTTTTTGTGCAAATTTTGTTTGTTTTTGGAACTTTCTCTGCTTTCCACTCTGTATACCCTTTTATTTTTCTAAAATAAGAGCTGAGGTTCTAACCCAGGACTCTTGCTGCACTGGGAGAACTTCTCCTGTCTTCCTGACGTCTGTTGGTCGTTTTTGTGCACAGTCCTTGGGAGACTCCCAGGGACATGCAGCTCGGCACCCTCAGCAGTGAAAGGAGCATTTCATCGTTCTCTTTCATACCTCTAGGTGTCCATCCGTCCATGTACAACCTGCTTTTTCCTATGTTCTCCCTTTTGGTGAATGATAACACCGTACATCTATTGCCAAAACCAGAAACCTGGATGTTATCTGGACTCCACCTCTCTCCCCAAATTCACTCTGTCCCCAAGTCTTCCTGGTTGTTCCTCTGAGGTACGCCTCCCCTCTGTCTTTTTTGGAGTGAGGCAGACCTTGGTTTGAATCCTGGTGTGTAGCTTTGTGATTTAGGTAAGTTATTTAGGTTTTCACTGTTGTTTCCCTCGTTTATGGAGTGAAGAGAATAAAGCCTGTGTCACATGTGGCTGCGATGGTTACAGGAGATGAAGTATGTGAGGACTTGGCCCACACAGGCTTCCTTTAAATGGCTCCTCGGCTGCTGCTGCTGCGCGCTTGCGGGTATTGGGAATGGGGTCGGGTAGAGAGCACTCTTTGAGGCGGGCAGGCGAGGTGTGGCTCCTTGGTCCTGTGCCTGAGGCAGTCCTTTAGCCCCGGAGACCCAGGTTCCTGCTTATGGGGGTTGTCAGGGTTACCTGAGTGGATGCTCAGTCACCGAATGCCAGCCCAGCCCCTGGTCCTTCCCCTCCAGATGACTGCAGTTTCCTAATGAGGCCCTGTGCGTCTCATTTGTCTCCCCTCTGGTCCCTCCTCTGTGGCACTGGCAGGGAGTGGGTCCAGTCAGTGCCCTGCAAAGGCTGCCTGCCGTCTTCAGCTTAAAATCCAAGTTTCTTGGTACAGCATCTCCAAGGCCCCCTTTGATCTGAACCGTCATTCCATTTTCAGTTTCCATTTTCATATCTAGCTTTAGCCAAATTGATCTGTTTTCAGTTCCCTGAAGAGGCTGTGCCTGTCCCCCTTCCTTGCCTTTGCGTCACCCATCTTTCTGAGAGACTCATGTCTCCTCTGGACTCCTTTCCTGGGCCTGGGTCACTCAAGTGATCCTCCTGTCTGAAAAGTAATTTATCATACCAAAGTATTTGGCTCATTTGTCTATTTACTGCTGGACTGAGGACTCCGTCAGGGCTGGGCCTCCTTCTTATCTGTGTTGCCCCAGCTGGGGAATTTATTGTTTCTGAAAAATTCTGTATTAATCAATTTTTAAATTTAGACCATATTTTAAATACCTGGGATGAGCTTATTCTTTAAAGAAATTTTCAAGGATGTTTTATATAATGAAGAACTTGTATAATGTAAGTAACCATCCCATAATTTATTTTGTAAATAAAGATCTGTGTATATTCTAGCCTGCACATCCAAAAGATAAAGCTGTGTGAATAGAGTAGAATGCTCTGTAAATTTGGGATAAAACGTACTGAGGGTGGGCTCCTGTTAATGGTTATAAATCAGGGCAGAGTGATAGACAGTTAGAAATCAATGAGATCTGTGTGATGACCTTAGCTAGAAACCTAGGGGTTGGTTATCCTGACAGTGAAGTGCTCCGGAGCCTTGAGTTTAGGGATGCGTGATGCTGAGACATACCTCTTTCACTTTACAATTCTTTTTTATTTACTTATTTGTTTTTAAATAATGCTCTATTTTATGGCCTAAATGGGACTTTGATAAAGGGGGGGGAAAAGCATTCATATGTTTTATGATGGCATTTTTCTTATAGTCACTATGTTTGGGAAGCTGGCTATTACAACAGTTATTTCAGGAAGGAAATACTGTTATTCAGGAATAGGGTAATTTAAAAAATATGTTCTTATTGGGACTTTGGAGCTAATTTTCAGGGGGTCGAAAGCTCCAGGGGTGGTGAACTCTCGAGAGCATTATCTCTGGCCTTGGGTGGACAGCACTCTGTGCAATGCCTGGAAGACAGAGAAGTTGAGCTTGGCTGTCACCATGTGAATTTAAAATGCATTCCTATTTTGGAAATAAGAATAATTTAGGAAAGACGAAGATAAAACTGGGGAATAGTATAAAGTTGTTCTTTTAATATTTTCTTTCTAAACAGGGAGTTTTGAAAAATAAGTGGTCAATTCTCTACCTCTTGCTAAGCCTTAGTGAAGACCCACGCAAGCAGCCAAACAAGGTGAGAGGCTCTGTTTTAGCAGCTCCTGCTTTCTGAAGGCGCTTAGTGTCTTTTCTTGGAACAGGTAGACCAATTTTGATATGAATCACCTTCTAGACTTAAGAAAATGATATGAGAAAAGGAAAAGAACTTGTCTAGTTTTCTGGGCGTTTGTGGAAGGTCAAAAGATTTCTTTTTTTTAAGGGCATTTTTAGTGTGCTGTGTTTCTTTAAGGTGTTTTTCAGAATTATGTTATTACTCCAAATATAACACTGTATAAATATTGTATAAATACGTAAACTATCAGTTTTCAAAATTTTTACTGCGTGAGGTTATTACTATCAGCACAGCTGCGTAATTCTTTATGAGTTAGAAGACCTTTTAGGATTTTCTTGTGTTTTCAGATATCCTTATGAGCATTAGTTACTGTTAGACCGGTGAAAACTTTACTGTCACATGGATTCAGTTTTTGACCTGTGCAGTGTTTGAAAAAGCAGTTTGGCAGCTCCATGTCCCAGAGAGTCTGGTATAATGAAATATTCTATTACAGAAATTTAAGTATTTGAAAAGTTGAAGAATGTGGGTGAAAGAGTCATATTTACCTCTAAAACCTTAGTCTAAGTAATGAACATTCTTTCATTATATAATAATGCCAAACCTTTAAAAATATTTGAGTAATTATTTGAGTTTTAGTTTACATGCATTCTGAATAAAGTGTTCAGTTATCAGACCATGTGGGAATTTTGGATTTCAGAAAACTTTCTACAACTTTATCAGTTCTGGCATATTTCAAAACTATAACTAATTTATTGGGTTTTTTTTTGGGAAGATTAGCCTTGAGTTAACATTTGCCGCCAATCCTCCTGTTTTTGCTGAGGAAGACTGGCCTTGAGCTAACATCCATTCCCATCTTCCTCTAGTTTAAATGTGGGATGCCTGCCACAGCATGGCCTGACAAGTGGTGTGTGTGCGTCTGTGCCTGGGATTTGAGCCAGTGAACCCTGGGCCGCCAAAGTGGAGCGCTCAAACTTAAGTAGTACACCACTAGGCCAACCCCCTAACTTATTGTTTAATAAGTGCATAATCCACTTACAGAAATAGAACTAAAATCTGAATATAAATTATATCTTTGTTGATTTGGGAAGAGTGTTCTATAATTTTATATCTCTATGTTCTTAATGCGTTTTAATTGATTTTCAGGTTTCTAGCTATGCCACGTTATTTGCTCAAGCGTTACCAAGAGATGCTCACTCTACTCCCTACTACTACGCCAGGCCTCAGACCCTCCCGCTGAACTACCAGGACCGCAGCACCCAGTCGGCGCAGAGCTCTGGCAGCGTTGGGAGCAGCGGCATCAGCAGTATAAGCATGTGTGCCCTCAACGGCCCGGCCCCCACGCCACAGTCTCTCCTCCCGGGGTAAACCAGGCTTACCAGCATAGACCCCTGAAGTAGCAGAACCAGGAAAGCCTCAGGCTTTTGTGTTTTGTGTTCACTGAAACTATTTAGAGCCTTGTATGTCCCAGAGTGTTCTAGGCACTGTCTCTGATGTGCTTTATCTGAGGTTTTACTGCCTAGACACTCCCTTCAGATAGGAATTCTTTCCACGTCTAATCACAGTTGACTGTAAGATTTTCTGGTGGCTCTTAACCTGTTAATGCACTTGTGTATTAGTGAAGGATTTAGCTCCTAAGCGCAATATGCAGAGCCTTTTATTTTGAGGTGACTGACTGACAATTCTCTTGCTGTATGCTCATATTTATCTCTGAGTGAATATTATCCCCTTCATTAACATATACTCTTCCCTTCACTGAACTGTTTAAAAATTAACTAAAATAAAATAAAGCTGTCTTATCCTCAAGTGCTAAGATCTTCAAACTAAGAATTATGGCATCTCATAGTGCAAGTGAATTAAGATGAGGAACTATGGGAACACACGACTAAAATGTTGCTTCCCTTGCCGTTTAAGGTGTTGTCAAATCTAATTATGTTTTTAGGAAATACATATGCAAAATAAAAATACAAAAGTGTGTATTACATCATAGATAATATATATTAGTAACATTGAGATTCTCATTTTTGTTTTTTGCAGTCCCAGGAATGATATTTTTGTTACAGTTGTCAAAATATTCATTAGAAATTAGCCAACAGGTTCTTAGATCTTCAGAGAGCAGCTGTACGTGTTCTCCACATTCAGTAAAGCCTTTCTTTGGGTGTGCTTTTGCCTTAGATTTTATGTTTGTACACTTGAAATTAATTGGAAATTATGGTCTTTCTCTTCATATTGAGCATGTGGAGGCTGGGACACAAGGGTGGAGAAGAGCAGCAGCGTTCCAGGCTCTTTAACTCCGTGCTCAGCAGAAGCTGAGTGAGTGAAGGGTGGTGACTGTGAAGTTAAAGTCAGTGAATTGCAAAGTGGTTTTAAATGGGTGATGTATGTTATGTGTTTGTAAAGAAAAGTCAAATAGATTTTGATTTTTATGGTAAGAAACGTGTGGAGGTGGCAGGGAGAGTCTAAGTGCTAGCCTGAGGGTCCAAGGCGGCCTTGGACTGATTGTCGTCGATGTGTTTGAGTAGGGTTAAGTCACCTGTGCATTTCAGATTATCAATATAGTATAGTAAGAAAAATTTCTGGAAGTGTTTTTATCTCTTCAGTGAATAGCCTGGGTGTTTGAAGATACAGGATGTTCCTTCCTTCTTTTAGACAGTCTCATCAAGCTCCAGGAGTAGGAGACTGTCTTCGACAGCAGTTGGGGTCACGTCTTGCATGGACTTTAACTGCAAACCAGCCTTCTTTACAAACCACTACCTCAAAAGGCATCCCCAGCACTGTTGCTCGCACCGTGACAAGGCCAAGGAGAGAAGGGGATGCAGGTGGTGAGTAAGGATGTATTTTAACGTAGCTTTTCTTTGAACATTTGGAAGTCATGCTTCCCTTACTTTAAAACACTGGTCAGGAATCTCCACTTTCAACCTTTGGGTAATTTCTTGTTCTCATAATGAGGTTCAGAATCCTAACTCTGGTCTCTGATGCCTTGGGAAGTCTGGCTTTATCACTGCATGTCTCTGTGACCTTGGAATCCTCAGCCCCATTCACTTTTCAGATCCTTGTCTGAGTGGTTTCCTCCGCCCAGGTCTTTCTTCTCTTCCCTTCCTCGTCACATCCCCTCTCTGTTTTTATTTTCTGCCTTTCTTCCTGGGAAGGCTTCTCCAGACGAGACCAGGCCCCTAGTACCAGTTACCGTCTTCTCCACAGTCGGAGTTCCAACAACAAGGAGGGGCTGTTTCTGTCTTGTTCACCATGCCATTTGAAGAAGCTCATTGCAGATTTATTTGATCACTAAATGAATGCCTCATTGAGAGTTCTAAATCTCTGCTAGATTCCAAAGAAAGTTTGAGTTTCTTTTTTTTTAACTTTTTTTTTTTAAGATTGGCACTTAAGCTAACATCTATTGTCAATCTTCTTCTTTTTTCCTCCTTCTTCTTCTCCCCAAAGCCCTCCAGTACATAGTTCAGTATTCTAGTTGTAGGTCCTTCTGGTTGTGCCATGTGGGACGCCGCCTCAGCATGGCCTGATGAGCAGTGCCATGTCCTTGCCCAGGATCCAAACCAGCGAAACCCTGGGCTGCTGAAGCGGAAATGTGTGAACTTAACCACTGGCCACGGGGCTGGTCCCAAATGTTTGAATTTCTTTCATGAGAACCACATGAATAGCAGTGTTTGGAACATGAGTATCCTGAAAATAGAAGAATGAGCTTTATTGTTCATAATCTACAGATTCTGAAATTCCTCTAGCTGTGATCTGTCTTTGTGTAGAATGCGAGGATCAGCAGTGTCTTTTAGACTCATGAGGACAGCTTGGAGTGCAGAACTCGGCCTGTGCCTGTGTAGCTGCACTTGCCGGCCTCTCTCTGTCCTGTGACACGTGACAGCTATGTCCTCTGGGGCTTAGAAACTCATTTCTAGATGGACTCAGAGTGCTCTTCTCTGCTTTCCCTCTGTTGGTGTGACTCCTGATCCCCAACCAGAACCTTCAAATCTGTATTCCGTACAAACCTGAGAGACAGAAGGACTTAAAGATATACTTGATTAGCCCAAAGGAGCAGGAGAGGAAGTGCAAAGGAAGAAAGAACAGTGGGGTAAAGAGAAAACATACCGCAGTCAGTTAAATTCAAATCCAAATGTCAGTAATTACATTAAATTTATATACATTAGACACTGTTTAAAAGACGGATTTTTCAAAAAATGCTGTTTAGACAATTATGTACTACTCACAAGAGACACATTTTAAATATAGGACCACAAATAGGTTGAAAGTAAATGGATGGGAAAAACACAGACCATGGGAAAGCTGAGTGGCTGTCTTAATATCAAGTAGACAGTGGCAGGAATGTTGCCAAGGACAGAGGGACATTGCATAACAACGAAAGGGTCAGTTCTTGGGGAAGAAGTAATACTCCTAAATGTATATTCACCTACCGACAGAGCTTCAAATGCAAAGAAAAACCAACAGAACTGCAAAGAAGACACACAAACGCACAATTACAAATGGATATTTCAACTTCTTTCTTAGTAACTGATGGAAAAAGTAGATAAAAATGGTCAGTGATGATAGGTAAGATTTGAACAATACTACTACTAAATTGATGTAATTGATAATTATAGAATATTATCTCCATGACTGTGAAATACAAACTTGTCCTCTCCTTGTGACTCTATTGTCCTGGTTCTGGCAGTGCTGATCCCCAACTGTACACTCTGATTGTGCTGGCCCTGTTCTGGGAGTGCTGATCCCCGACTGTACACTGATTGTGCTGGCCCGGTTCTGGGAGCGCTGATCCCCGACTGTACTCTGATTGTGCTGGTCCGGTTCTGGGAGCTCTGATCCCCAACTGTACACTCTGATTGTGCTGGCCCTGTTCTGGGAGCGCTGATACCCAACTGTATACTCTGATTGTGCCGGCCCGGTTCTGAGAGCTCTGATCCCCAACTGAACACTCTGATTGTGCTGGCCCTGTTCTGGGAGCGCTGATCCCTGACTGTACTCTGATTGTGCTGGCCCTGTTCTGGGAGCACTGATCCCCAACTGTACACTGATTGTGCTGGCCCTGTTCTGGGAGCGCTGATCCCCGACTGTACACTGATTGTGCTGGCCCTGTTCTGGGAGTGCTGATCTCCGACTGTACACTCTGATTGTGCTGGCCCTGTTCTGGGAGCGCTGATCCCCGACTGTACACTCTGATTGTGCTGGCCCTGTTCTGGGAGCGCTGATCTCCGACTGTACACTCTGATTGTGCTGGCCCTGTTCTGGGAGCGCTGATCCCCGACTGTACACTGATTGTGCTGGCCCTGTTCTGGGAGCGCTGATCTCCGACTGTACACTCTGATTGTGCTGGCCCTGTTCTGGGAGCGCTGATCTCCGACTGTACACTCTGATTGTGCTGGCCCTGTTCTGGGAGCGCTGATCCCCGACTGTACACTGATTGTGCTGGCCCTGTTCTGGGAGTGCTGATCTCCGACTGTACACTCTGATTGTGCTGGCCCTGTTCTGGGAGCGCTGATCCCCGACTACACTCTTATTGTGCTGGCTTGGTTCTGGGAGTGCTGATCTCCGACTGTATACTCTGACTGGGTTTTTTCTCCCACTGATGACATCTTGGATTTCTGGGCATTGCCTCCTTGTCCTTATCTTGCCCTTATTTTGAGTAACACCTTAATTCTAACTTAGCTTTGTCCAAGGTTTATGGAAATTGTAAGTAACTTCTCTGCTGTTAACTCCTTTTTATATGGTGTTGAGAATGGACCAAGGTTTGTCTGCTTGCTGTGTAATAAGCCCGTATTCCCAAACACTATCTTGAAATAAATAAGCATCCCTTTGTGATTGATTTGTGCTGCCCCTTGATTATATATTAAGTTCCCACATATTGCTTCGTCTTTTTAAAAGACTTTTTGTATAAGAAATTACATGATTTCCATTCTTTTTCAGGAAATCCTATGTTTCTTAAAACTTTATGCTCTCTTTTTCATCTTAAGCTCATTTATTTAATGTTAAAATTTTGTCCTGGTTGCAAATATATACTCCAAAACTAATTGTGTCATAAAACTGATTTTGTCTTAAAAATATTGTTCAGTAATTACTCTCTTATAAAAACCATTTTCCAGGTGCTGTGGAAGTTACTGAGGCAGCCCTTGTCCGAGACATTTTGTATGTGTTCCAGGGCATAGATGGCAAAAATATCAAGATGAGCAACGCTGAGAATTGTTACAAAGTGGAGGGAAAGGTACAGTAACTAAACCCTGTCTAAAATATTCAGAAAGAAAGAATAAATGTCATGAAGACCACATAGGAGCTGTTAATTTGTGAGGTGTCATTGGGGTAATGAGGGCTGGCTTTACAATGTCAGGTGTCCAGTCAAGTTGCACTACTAAATGCCGATTTCTCTTTCCCCGTGCAGTGTGCAGCTTGTGTAGTCTTGTTACAGGGCCCCATGTCATCAGTACTTCCTTCCTTTCCCTTCTGTTTCTTGCCTTCGTCATTTTCAGTGATGCAGCCACCCCAGTAACTGGGTTTCTGTATCCTGTGATGGTGATGCCACGGGTACCTGAGTGGCAGGTATGACTTGGTGTCTTTGTGCTTAAACAGGATTCCAGATGAGGCGGCTCTGCTTGCTTTTGCTTTCTTCTTCCACAGCCCTTCTTGTTGACATTGTGACCTTCTGCTACTCTCAGCTGTTTCACGAGGTGACGAGTGTCACAGACTGTCCCTGCCATGCTGGCCACTCCCTCCACCAGGGGATGTGACCCGAACTTACTATTCTCTGGGCGGTATTTTACTTTCCTGCCTGTTACCTGATGCTTTTTGTTTCCCAGAATCTCATTGTTTTCACTTTAATGATAGTATATTAGTTAGTTTTAAATTGCATGTGTTGAAGGCTAAGAATTATAATATTAAGTACAAATGGTTAAGAAAAATAATAATTAAAATTCTCGTGTTGAGTTTCCTTTTAGCTCTTGATCTCTTTTCTTTTTAGGCAAACCTAAGTAAATCTTTGAGGGATACGACAGTCAGACTTGCTGAGTTGGGATGGTTACATAATAAAATCAGAAAATACACTGACCAGAGGAGTCTAGACCGTTCATTTGGACTTGTAGGTCAGGTATGTTCATTATTACTAGAATGTTTGGGATGCCGTTCACTTTTGGAAATGCTTAATCTGCTTAAAATCTTATGAAAATAATTCTTAAGAGGCTTCTTTTTAAATCGAAAAGCTTTGTTAATAGACTTTGTGTCACTCACGGTCCACTCAAGAAAATAGAAACCATAGTAGATATTGACAAAGATAATCAAATACAGCAAATTGTTTACATAGCTGTTGGAGGACTATGAAAGCAAAAGAATACAAACACTAATTAAAACAGAGGTAAACCTGGGGAGCAGAGAGAAGAGGTTGGGGTAATCAGGATCCAGTAGCTTGGAGGAGGGGCGCCCAGCAGATGCAGCCCTCTGAGGAGGGCCTGCTGGGACATAGACCTGTGAGCAGGGGACATTCCCAACTGCTGTGGGTGCCCCACACAGCACAGTGAGACTGGCTTGAGGAATGTTCCAGAAGCCAGAGGCGGGAGCCAACTGCTGCTGCTGGCCTGAACGGCCACAACTGGGGCACTGCCTACAGGATGGCAAGTAGTTGGGAAGGAACTGGTCCTTCCCCTCCTCCTCCTTCTGGAACCAGACAGGAGGCAGCTGGTAAAGGAGAAGTGAAGTTTACACATCCCAACTCCTTTTAAAGGTTGAGCAGCATAGGATTTTGCCCTCAAGTTGATTCTTGGGCAGTAATTATTTCCTGTGAAATCTCCCAAAAATTATTGAAGAGAGAGTGACAAGTAAACTGCACTGTAGGTGCAGCATAGCATGGCAGCATAGCTGGTGACTAGGAGTGTGGCTTTAAGTGAGACCACCCAGGGTTCTGGGTGTTGGCTTTACTCTTTCATAGTTACATCGTCTTGCACAGGTTTCCTTCTCTTGGCCTTAGTTTCTTTGTCTGTAGAATGGAGGTGATGATAACGTACAAGACGATGATACTCTCCAAGGGCGTGAGCATTAGGAGACAGTGCATAGAACGCTGCTTGTCCCGAGCCCAGCGCTATTCCCTTAGTCCCATTTACCAGGATAGACAATAGGCTGGATGGGCCAGGACCCTCCCCCATCACTGTAACACAGAAAGGAAAGACCAGGCCTTCAGGACCAGCTCCACCTGGCGTTAACGGTGTATGGAGTTTGTAGACTAATGAGCCCACTGGCCATCCCTCTGCTGTGGTTTCTGGGAGTCCTTTCCCCCTTTCCAGAAAGGACCATCTTATGTCTTTGTATCATTCCCTAGTGAATGCAAATTCCGCTGTTATGTCCTAGTCGAGTTATTAGATGTGAAGCAAAACAAACAGAAAATGAATACAGGAAAGCTAAACAAACTATTACATGGTTTCTTATTCTAGCAGATTGATTGGTAATCACTATGGTAGTGTCATATAGTGTTTTATAGTGCTATATTTTAAAGCATTGTCTCTCATATTTGATTAACAGCCCTCTGAAATTAGCAAGGCAAGTGGTAATTGTCCCCATTTTGTAGATATAAAAGTTGAGCCTCAACCTTGAGGTTAATCGATTTGTCCACATTGCCCTCACATGTTCTTTGGGACCAGAATATGATGCGTAATGTCTCCTCTGAAGCTCTTTCCATTCCTCTCCCCGTTCCTGCTTTGTAAAGTCATTGCTCTGTACTGTCTGGTTACCGAGGACGCAGTGGGGTTGCTTATTGGAAGAATGATGGATGCTTTCGGGGTGACCTTATGTTGTGGGTAGCCGGGGAGTCTTGATTTGTGTCTTGTCCTGGTGTAGTTATTATTAGCCCCCTTTCACTCTCAGAAGTGTCCTGGCTCTAGATGTACTAAATGGAACAAAATCTTATTTATAACGGAAGATAGTGTTTCCTAAGTATGAAACTTGTATTTGCTTTTTAATAATGCAGGTGAGAACAGCCTCAGTTAACTGGAAACCTTCTGTGTGGATACACAGGTGCTGAATTATTCATTGTAATTCTGTGATCTTGGTTGGAGACCACTTAGGGGCTGACGTGTATACTCCTGTATATATTTATATTCTACCTGAGAGACTATGATTTCATTATTTCTAGTGGTCAGCAGTTGGGATTTGTTTTTGCTTTTAACTTTGATGTGTTTGTGTGTATGTTTGTCTGCCGTGGGTTCTGGGATGGGGTTTTTGTAAAAAGTGATGCCATGCCTGAAAAGGTGCCACATCGTTTTCTCTGAATATTACTTAAGAAAACTGACGTAAAATGTCAGCACCTCCCATAACCACCCTGTTGTGTTATTTCATTTATTCCTCCTGTATAAATGGGCCAGTAAGGCTTAGGGACAGGGAAGGGCTGACCCACGATGATACACCCAGCGTGTGCCCAGGGTTTCATGCTGAGGTCAGCTGATTCCAAAACGTAAGAAAGCCCATCTTGCAGCTCTCACTTTTGACACATTCCCTGGAGTCTGTAAAATTAGTTTTATGTTCATTTTTATAGCCTGTAAGGATGAAAATACTTGTATTAGACCCAATGCACAAAACATAAATACAGTAAGTATAAACCTAGAGATGACTGATTATTTATTGCTTTAAAGTATTCAGAAAAGTGTGGAGCCTGATATTTAAGGAAAACAGGTTTTATCCTTTGTAAGTTCTGTCTCTTATAGGTTCTCTCGGAAACCAGAGCTTCCCACTGAGTATTCCTGGGTTTACATCCCAGAGTTCATTCCAGAAAGTTCTTAGACTGTGTGAAGGCCCTTACAGTTTCTGATTTCACATCTGTTCAGCTTTTAAGATTGGAGAGGTACAAAGAAGTTTTTAGTAATATGGAAGGGAAAAAGTACAAACTCCCCCCACAACTGGGGTAAATTAGTATAGAGTTGTCAGTTTTAAAATTTTGCGAATTAAGAACGTTAAAGAAAATTATATTTAACTCTAAAAATTTAGAGGGGACGTTATCTTAAAATAAAGGATTATTGTCCAGAGTGAATACACTTTTAGCTTCATGAGATACATACTCCGTTTTCTTCGTTTCCCTCTTGCAAAGTTCATGCTAAGGGACAACACGTCCCTAACATTATTGAATACCTGTAGGACTTTGTCTTAAAGCATGGTGCAGTTCAGATGAGTTGATGTGTGATGACTGTGTTGTGCTTTAATTAGACTCACTCTTTCTACACAGAGCTTTTGTGCTGCCTTGCACCAAGAACTCAAAGAATACTATCGATTACTCTCTGTTTTACATTCCCAGGTAAATACTTTATTTTTATTAATTCCTTCATGATTTGAAGTGTTACAAGATTGCAGCTGTGTAGAATTTTTAAGTTTCTTCATACATTACTTTTAAAAGATAAAAATCTGTTTGATAACACTGCTAGTAAGCTCTGGAAATCTACAGTTTCAGTATATCCTAGAGGCAATTAATTGCTGATTTTCAGGGTCCTGTGTACCATTTAAACAGATCACTTGTAGATTGAAGGAACTGTTCTTCTCTCAGAGGGGAACTTTTGCTTCATTTTTATGAGAATAATCCCTTCCCCATATTCAGTTTATATGGATTGAGAAATGATTGACGTGTTTAGTGACCTCTGCTTATCCCTTATGTGATTACTGTTTTTCAGCTCCAGTTAGAGGATGATCAGGGTGTGAATTTGGGCCTTGAGAGTAGCTTAACACTCCGGCGCCTCCTGGTTTGGACATACGACCCCAAGATACGACTGAAGACTCTGGCGGCCCTGGTGGACCACTGCCAAGGTCATTTTGCATCTCATGGACCTGCTTTATTTTAAAGCAAGTTTTAAGGAATATCATCTAGGTTTATTTTTGTGCCTGCTCTTTTGTATCCTCAACAACCATAAGTATGCTGATTGATAAAAGTTAACAGATTTGAAGTTAGAGGGTAAAAAAAAAAGCAGTTGCCAATGTGGCCCAGTATTTGTACTTGTTGAAGCTCAGGATTTCATTGAAATGAAGGAATAAAGGAAGAGAGTATCTAATTTTTGAAGATTTATCTTCTTTTTGTGGTCCTTGGTGTTCTTAACTGCTTTTCTGTTTCTTCGTTTACTTGACTTCTAACTGGCAGTCTCTCCTGGTGTTTTATGCCACCTGAGGTTGTGCTCCCTGTCTGGGTTCACCAGCTTTGTGCTGCTCTTCCCATATTGGCATGTCTGGCTTTGGCCTCTCCTGCGCCCAGTCTGTATTTCTAGTTGCCTTCTAAACATTTTTCCTCACTGTGCTACCTTGGCCAGGGAGCTGCTTCTCTTTTTTTCCCTCATGTGTAACATCAGGACACTGATAGTCTGGACTTAGGATGGTTAGGACTAATGAGAGGTGAGAAGCCAGAGGTCTGCCCCTTAGTTCGTGGCTCAGTGTTTGCTGCCATCCTCCTCCTGGGTGATTCACAAGGACCAGAGCTTGAACATGTTGAAGTCCAGTTCATGGTGCTGTCAGTGCCTTTCCGTCTTCACCTCCTGGCACTTCCCCTAAAAACAAAGAAGTTGAACACACTGAATAAATATCTCCTTTTTCTCCAATTACCAGCACTGCCCCATAACTGGACTCTTACCAGACTCCTCTTTTCCTTTCCTCCCAATCCCCCATCTCTTCCAATGTCCAGTTAGCCGCTGAAGTCCCCGTGCCTCCCACTCCTTCCTGTGTCTCAAGTTGCTGCCACTCCTGCAGACACGGTTTGAATCCTGCCCTGTGCCTTCTTTATGCACCACCGTAATAACCTGCTGGCCGCTCTGTCTTCAGTCTCCACACCTCCATTTTTGTGCATATATGCCAGAAGAACCTTATTAAAATTAGGTCACATCGTTTGCGAAGTTGAACCATTGTTTTATCAAAATGTGTATTATAATCTAAATAAAATCTATTGTTTAGAGAAAAAAAATTAGATCACATCACTCCTTTCCTTAAGATCTTCCAGCAATCTAACAAAATTTTGAATTCTTAATATAACATGAGGAACTCTGCATGGGCTTATATTTTTGAACCTGATTTTTGCCACTCCCAATACATCATACTGAACTATGCTCTCAGGACACAGGGAACTGTTGTCTCAACAGAGAACAGTATTTTTCAAACTGTAAGTTGCAGCCTATTAATGGGTTATGAAATCAACTTAGTGAATTGAGACTAGCATATTATACCAAAAGAAAAAAAGGAAGAAAATAGAAAATATTAAAGTGTAAGTATTTTGTAAAACTTCTGTTTTTCATATATATTTATTTATATACTGGATTGCAATATAAAGTGCAAATCTTAGTATGTGTCTCAGTCAAAAAAGGGGAAAAGTCACGCTCTAGGTCATAAAGCAAGTCAGGTTTTTTTACTGAGAAGCTCCACAGTGGTCGTGAAGAGATGTGTGAGTCGCTCTGACCCACGAGAAGCCTGGGGCAGGCTCTGGATCTCTGCTCCTCATCTGTGACACATTTACTGCTGCCTCTAGGTTCCAGGTGGCATTGAGAAAACAAACACACCTTATTGCCATTACTTGGCCATTTTGTTTTCTGCCATGAATGTAAATTTGGGTGTTTTTCTTTTCTTCCCCCCAGGAAGGAAAGGAGGTGAGCTGGCCTCAGCCGTCCACGCCTACACGAAAACAGGAGACCCATACATGAGGTCCCTGGTGCAGCACATTCTCGGCTTAGTGTCGCATCCTGTCCTGAGCTTCCTCTACCGTTGGATATACGACGGGGAGCTCGAGGACACTTACCATGAAGTAAGGAATGCTACTCGCGTCTCAGACTCGAATTTTAGAAGCGTGGGCACTCCGTTCCTCTCTTTTCTGTTAACAGTAATGCCACCACACTTCATTTGAATGCCATGCACATTGTGTACAGTACTGTGAAAGCCAGTTACCTCATTGATCAGCACAGCTGTGTTTCTTTAGTGGGAAATTGCTATCCCAATTTTTATAGTAGGAAATAGTGAGAAACTCAGCAAGATCAAATCACTTGTCCAGGTCTATAAGCAAGTTGACAGCAAAGCTAGGACTGGGTCTCCTGAGTCTCAGTCCGGTTTTCCTTACAGTGCAATATCATATGTTTTGTTGCTTTGTGTGATTACTGTATACACTAAACTTACTTTGATTAACTATGGTGCTGACAGTTTTAATGAAACAAGTTATTTGTATATGTATACCTATTGAAATAACAGCTCTGCTGTAATGCAACATATGTGTTCCTCAGAGTCACACAGTAAAAACCACGAGACTTCTGACAAAAAGTAGAGTGGGGGGCACGACACTCAAAACCTTGTCAATGACGTTAAATAAAAGGATAAGAACTTAATAGAAGTTACAGCCCAGTTTTTGACACATATTAAATGCTTAAGAAATACAGAAAGTCTAGAATAAATATGGCATTTACCTTGAAAAAGCCGTGACGTTGGCTTGTGGACGTGGGCAGAAGGACGGTTTTCTGAAGTGGCGCAGCAGGTTGTGGCGGCTGACAAGCATGATGGATTCAGGTGGCTGGTGGAGTGGGAGACGTTCTGTGTGTGCCTTTGTCGATTCCCACGTACCTCTGTTCCTGTTTTCATTTAGTTTCTCCTGGATGAAATTGCACGTATGCAATCATGAAATTTGTGTTACGCTCATGTTTCCTGATATATCAGTTGTGCTGTAACAAGTTGTTTTTAGACAAGCATGACTGCAGAACCGACCGTATATGGTATTGTTTCCTGGTACTTTTGAAACACGTAAATGACAGCTTACATGTGCGTATGTATTGTGCAAGTCGCTCACTGTTTCCTGGAGCTCCTGCCATTATGGTGTTATTGTTGGACTTATTACTGCGTCTTATTTCACTGTATGGACATATTTTTTATTGAGCAACTCTCCTCTTGGAGATTACGTTCTTTGTAGTTTTAAATCTTATGAACATTATTAAAATGAACATCCTTTTGTGTGCCTCCTTGTGCATATTTATGAGTTTCTCTGGGGTAAGCACTGGACTTGCTGGGCTGTGGGGAATGCATACTTTAAGATTTGGTTCACATGTGGAGCTCTCCATGGAGTGGCTCTACCAGTTTATCCTACAGTCGGCTTTCTGTCGTGGTTCTTCTTCCTCCATCCGGGTCAGCACTTCACATTACCCAAGTTTCATAGAAGTGTTTTTAATCTAATGTATGGGATGCGGTATCTCCTGTGGTATTTATTTGCATTTCACTGGTTACTAGTGAGATTGACCAGCTTTTCGTGTTTATTGGTTATTTTTATTTCTTATTCTAATTGCTGTTCATAGCCTTTGCCCATTTTTCCTGTGGATTTGTCTGTCTTTAGAATTGAATCATGGGGTGGGTTTATACATTTGGATATCTTGTATCTGTAATTGCACTTTTTTCCTTAATCTTTTGTTTTTAACTGTTTATTTTCACATTATTTCAGACTTAGAGAAAAGTTTTAAGAGTAGTCCAAAGAATCATAGCTTTGACTGAGACTCCCCAAATGTTAGTTTTGCCACATTTTATCATACACTCAGTTTCCATATACACCTTCGTCTGTTTCTGGACTATTTTTTTCTGATTTTTATTTTTTGTTTGCTATTTATTTGTCAGTATAATTTAAATAACCATAGCTTTATGGTTTGATATCTGGTAGGAGCAGTTTGTTCTTTTCACAATTTTTCTTGCTGTTTTTGCACATTTCTACTTACATGTGAATTGGGAATCAGCTTTGTCAGTTCTGCCAAAAGTTCCTTTTTTATGTTTATAGGAATTGCATGTTGAATTTAGATTATGAAGAAGAAAGATTAAGAAGAAATGTTTTTAATGCTTCCTATGTTCCTTTTGCTAAATGAGCTGTTTTTTATGAGTTGAAAGCTTTGAAAGGTATCATGTTTTCATTTTACTAAAGGTAACCTATGTTTTTCAGAACTTTCTTTAACTTGAATTTTTCTAAATGCTAAAGTCAAGAATAAACCAGTTTCTTTAGTCTGCTCCTGCCATTAAGATGAGGAATTTGTACCTCCCTGAGTTTCTGTCCTAGCATGTACTTAATCTCTTTGGCTTCTGTTTAGATCTTTATTATCTTATTTTTAATTCTTTATATGCAATGTTTAAGAATTGGCTTCTCTTTCAAGATTTTCTTTTTCTTCTTTGCCTTTAGATTTGCATCGGTTACTTAGGCATATATCTCTTATGTTAACTGATTATTCCTTACCACGTAGCTCAGTTATAACCCCTGTTATTGAGATATCCATATGGAAAAGTACACAGATCCTAAGTGTGAAGCTTGATGCCTTATGCAGAATGAGCGACCATCCAGGTCGGGGTAGCACCTCATCAGCACCTCCACTGCATGTCTCTCCCTTCACTGCCCCTTCCTTATTCCTAAAGGAGAACACTGTCCTCACTTCTAACACCATAGTTAGTTTTGTCTTATTTAAAATTTTATGTAAATGGAGTGATAGACTTCATATATGCTGAAGTACATTTACATGCCCTTTTAGGGAAGCATACTTTGTGTTCATAGTTAAGTATGAATCTTTGGGTGCTATTTCTGGAACGTGCCATTGTTGTTTATTTAATTAGAACTTTAAATCAGACTCAATCATTCAAGATTAAATGGAGCTTTAATTTTTGTACAGTTCAGCTTTTATCCATCGTCACTTTTGTAACTTATTTACAATGTTTATGAAGTCTCCTGACCATTATCACCATAAGAAAAATTATCTGAGTTTTAGAACATTGTCATTTATGAGCTTAAGAGAGTTTAAATGATTTTGTGGGTAAGAAAGTAAAAAATAAACATTCTTTTCAGGACGTGAGTATGTTTTTTTTAATGTTATAATTTGTATATGATAGGCTTTGCTTAGCTATGTAAATTTATGAGAAATACCTTGGCCAATTTGTAACCAGAAATGCAATACACTGAATATTGTTATTTTCAGTTTTGAGGCCTACTTGTCACCCATTAAAATTGTACCTTACATTGTAAAAAGAGATAATCTTTTAAGGTAACCTTTAAAAATCAGGATTATAAAAAGATGAAAAATTGTTCCTTTTTATTTAATTTAAAAAATCTGTATTTCCTTCCTCCCTCATCCAGTAATTAATATGTCAGTTATAACATTTGGGTGATATTAACTTTTTAAAAAGTGCTGATCAGTTGACTTGATGAACCTGGTTTTCCTTAGAGGTTGGGGTGAGAATTGTTGTCTGGCCCTTACTGAGATATATATTGCTACCAGTAAAACAAAAATTAAAGCCACAAACTGGCTAATTATCTTTTTTAAGTTTGTACCTAATTTCTAATTTGTAATGCTTTTGTCTTTTTTCTTGAGAATAATTTAGTTTGTACTTTCTAGCAAACAAATTTTTTTTTTATAATATGTTTTCGAATTTTTTTTTTGATTTTATTTTTTTCCTTTTTATCCCCAAAGCCCCCCGGTACATAGTTGTATATTCTTCGTTGTGGGTCCTTCTAGTTGTGGCATGTGGGACGCTGCCTCAGCGTGGTTTGATGAGCAGTGTCATGTCCGCACCCAGGATTCGAACCAACGAAACACTGGGCTGCCTGCAGTGGAGCGCGCGAACTTAACCACTTGGCCACGGGGCCAGCCCCACAAACAAATTTTTAAAGTAACTTTTAGTTATAACACTAATTCATTATATGCATCTTTGTTTTTAAAAATAATCCTTAAAAGTGCCACCAATTCTTTATTGATTGTCTGCCTTGTGTTGTTCAGGCTTATTTTTGTATTTGTTTTGTTAATTATAGGACTCGGGAGTTGATGGGAAAAGTAGAGAGAATTGGGCACAAATTTGAAAACTGATTTTTCTCTAGGCTTTTTTCTTTACTGTTTTTGAACATTGATTCACTGAGGTAAGACAAAAGCAAATTAAGACTAGTGTAGCTTAAATTTGGGAGTTTTTTTTGAAGAACTCTTGTTGCATAGAATATGTATAAGGCAAACTTTCAGGTTTTATTTATTTAAAGATAAAATATTAAGTATGTCTGTTGAATACAGTTATTAAAATTAGTAGCTCAAATGATTACTTAACAAACTTATCTGAAATCTTGCCTCATTCGTAAACTTTTAAATATGTTTTTATTTTTATATAATTTCAGACTTCTAGAAAAGTTGGAAGAATTATACAAAAGATTCCCAGGTATTCTTTCCTCAGATTACCTGGATGCTAACATGTTAGTACAATAAATTTATCTTTTTTTCTTTTGATATTCTATACTGTATATATATATATATATATACACACGCACAGTATATATATGATATACTGATAACTGTTAGGGTCTGAGTTTAGATAGGGCTTTAGGAAGTTCAAGATTTCTAAGTTTTTTATTTGCTAGTTATTTTGCTCAAATAGTCTTTTATGCCCCAGATTTCTTGTTTGCCTCAGTAGTTTTGCTTGTGGGATTCCTCAAAAATGCATTGTGATTGATAGAGCTAAATTAACCCTTCTTGACATAAAGTCTGTTATGTTCTTTGCTGTGGGCCTGCCATGTTTAGTGCTGCTGTGCAGTGGGCTTACACCACTTAACAGTGTCTTGTGGTGACTCATCTGCTTTGTCTCTGTGGGGTGGAGCTGAAGAGCTCTGGTTCTGGAGTCGCAGGACTTCGGTTTGGCTCTGGGCTTCAGTTTCTGATGCTCTGTATCCTGGGTGAGTGATTTAGCTTCTCTTGGGTTACCTTTCACACCTTTCGTATGTGCACAGTAGTAGTGTCTATCTCATGGGATTTTGTGTGTGTGTGAGGA